AGGATGTGTAACCCTGAGTGCCAGGATGTATACATGTAACCCTGAGTGCCTGGATGTGTAACCCTGAGTGCCAGGATCTGTGACCCTGAGTGCCAGGATGTGTGACCCTGAATGCCAGGATGTGTGACCCCATTTGTGAATGTATCCTTCCATGTAGTTGGGACACATTAACACACTACGACTACAAAATGCTGCATGGTAACCAATGTAGGGGTAAATATTAAAATTAAAACATCTTCTATTTTCAGCTTGAAGTGTCATCACTAAAGAGGCAACTTGACAGTCAACAGGAGCATTGGTCGGAGAAGAATAAATTTCTATCATCTGAACTTGCACACAAGAGGTAAAAGATTTATTTTATTGGTATTGAGATGATCTTACATCTAAAGCTTACCCACCAATACATTAGGACAGATGTTGTATTATTTCAGTTCAATGTTATGAACACAAAATTGTGTTTTTCATGGAAACAAGAATATCCTGAAGAGGATTGCGGTGGAAGCAGTTGACAGTGAACTTGGTAATATCAGATACATTGTTTCTATTATATTAAATCCTTGTTATTCTGTAATTGTTTCTTAACAGTGATACTTTTGAGAGTGAGCGTAGACAATTAGCGGATCAAGTAAAACAGCTCACTGCAGAGTTAGACAAAATGAGGTAAGATTTCAGATCCCATTATAGTGCTGATGTATGTCTAATTTATATTTATTCAAATAGAAAATCAGTTTGTAACCATTGATTTTTTATTTGGGGATATCTGCAACAGTAGTTAAATTTTCATTTAAAATAGTAACTGATGACATTAGTGTCACAAATTACAATGTTTGTGGAGTTGTACCCCACCCTCACAGTTTGTGGAGTTGTACCCCACCCTCACAGAGTTTGTGGAGTTGTACCCCACCCTGAGAGTTTGTGCAGTTGTACCCCACCCTCACAGAGTTTGTGGAGTTGTACCCCACCCTCACAGTTTGTGCAGTTGTACCCCACCCCACCATAGTTTGTGCAGTTGTAACCCACCTTATCTACTGCTGTTCCCTTCTGGTTCTGACATAATTAACATATTAACTCATAAATTTGAATTAGCTGTAGAAACTGAATGTTAACAGAGAGAATTAGATGTGAATGTTCACTGCTTGTTTGCACAATCAGTCTGCTTCTATATGAGCTCACATATATATGTCTGTGTATACTATTTCTGATATTGTACATTAACCAACTATTAATTGCTTTCATGTTACCTGTTTCAGGGAGCAAGTAACAAAGAAATCACATGATGTATTGAAAGTAAAGCGAGAATTGGGAGAAGTATCACTTGAAAAAGAGGAATTACAGACACGACTCAGTCAATCCCAAGAAAGGTTGACGTCAAAAGAGAGACTACAGCAACACAGGTGAAATCTAATTATCTGAGATTTTTTACATATTTCATATTGTTGTATGTATATGTTGTCAATAATAAAAGCATTTAAAGTCAGTTATTGCATGATAACTGGTCACAAATAGATGTGAAGGAAATAAATTATTTGTTTGTATTGGAACAAATTGCTCCCCATCATTAGATATAACTCAAGTAGCCAGTTGGAATTAGTCAATATCAATATTATGGAATATTGATGGAACTAACTCAACATCTCCCAATATTTTTTTTATTCTGTCAGAAGTTTTGATGACATGGATTTACAAGATGGGTTACCAAACAGCAGAAGAAGCAGTATTGAACTTGAATTTGATTTACACAAAGAATTACAAAACAGGTTAGTCTGAACAAACTGAATTGCTTATGGATTTTGTCAGGAGTTTCCAATTATTTGTTTTTTCCTTTGAGTAACTTTTGTGAATGTTTGTGGTGTATTACAGACCTGCATCCCATTCTAGGATCTATAATCACTATCATCAACAACCTCCATCTGGCTTGTCAAGGTGAGAATCATTCCAAATTCCTCACTGCTTTGATTATCCCATAATTCATAGTGTTTGTTTTATCACATCCATAGCTCCACAATGTATGTGATACTTGACAGATCAAATGTACATAGTTTGACGTCATATACTACTAATTCATTGTATATAAGAAGGTTGTCTGGAGCATTCAGGTTTCAGGGCCACTCAACATGGTTCAAGTAGACACGCTCATTTTCAAAAAAGTAGTCAATCATACAAAGAAAAAATTGGATAAAATTGAATGATATGGTAATTGTGAACCATGTAATGACAGTATAACTAGTGGAGAGCTTCTGTTTCACTTATAAACTAATATTAATCATTGAAGTCATTACTATTTGTTTACAGATTTGAAGTTGAACAGATGCTTTTGGATCTGAGCAGACAAATTCAAAAACAACTGGATCAACAAAAAGATGTACTGAAAAATCAAAGTGGAGCAGATGAAAATAAAAAGGTAATATCAAGGTTTAATGAGATGAAGATATTGATACTTGGTGTATATGTACCTTGGGTAGACCTCTCTTAGATTCGTTTATTCCGTGATGATAACTTCAATTCTCTAATTTGGTTGAATATTTTTGTCATTTTTGGTAAAAAGTGATATTTTCCACTTCTTGTTAAAAACTGCAAGTCTGATTGCTTTGATATCGTATATATAGGTACTACATATAGATCTCTCTCAAATTTTTGGTGAATGTTTTTGGTAAAAAGTGATATTTTTATATTCTTGTTAAAAACTGAGTTCGAATATTTTGATGTTATACATATTGCTACCTCAGGTAAACCTCACTTAGATTTGTTCATTTTGTAATGATATCTTCAATTTTCTAATTTTGATAAATATTTTTGTCATTTTTGGTGAAAAGTGATATTTTCGAATTTTTCTAATGATATCTTTAATTCTTTAATTGACATGTGCATTGCTAACAGCTATCTCAGCCGACAGGCCTATCTGCTTTATTGTTTTGAACATCAAAGGGCTAGAAACAAATCCTCTCTCCGACGGCATCCGTCCCGTGTCCTGGGTAATGTTTTCCTTTAAACGACTTCTTCTTTAAAAGTACTTGACCAATTACACTCATATTTGTACCAAAGGTACTTGGGGGTGGTCCTCTGTCAGATTTGTCATTTTCGGTAAAAATTTTTATTTTCGACAACTAGTCCAAAACTGCAAGTCCAAATGCTTTCATTTCCAGATTTGTTAAATTTGTGTCAAAATATGCAAATTTGGATTTTTAGCGGATATTTTTGTCATTTTTGGTAAAAAAATTTATTTTCGACAACTAGTTTGAAACCAAAAGTCCAAATGTTTTCATATTTCCAGCAATGATACGTGGAGTAATGATGTTTGTTCAATGAAATGCACTATCCTTATCAACACTATGAAAGTTCATAATTGCAACTGCAAGCAACTGTAACTTAGTATAAAGGAGGGAATCACGCAAATAAACTGGCTCCATTTTGTATCATGTCTATAATTATTTGGCACTAATGCTGACAGTCACTGAAAACTGGACAGAGAGTTTTCATTGACAATGTTTTGTACACTTGTACATTGCAGCTAGCTCAGCTAGAGAATGATTTGTCAATGGAGAAAGCGTTCCGAGCTGTGGAAAAACTACAAATACAGGCATTACATGATGAGATGAATGGTTTACGACAACATCTACAGAACATTAGGAAGTCTAGAGATACCCTGGCATCTGAAAGGTATGCACATTATGAGGTCATTAGCATGCAGTCCATCGTGGGATTGGGTCTGAACTGCTGTAAACAGGGTTTTAAATGACCCCCATCACCCCTTCTATTGTGGAATCCACATCTATTGCTTATTGTCATAGCAACACTTATTATAAATCTTAATAGGATATTTTCTTTTTTAATTACAGGAATCAGCAACGAGTATTGACTAGGATGGATGAAATAAACAATTTAATTGCCCAGTCACATACCCGTGCCCAAACCATGGCGTTCACCAGTATGGGGGTATCAGTGTTAGACAATCCTATTATGAGAATGAATTCCAGAGAATTTATACAACATTTACAGTCAGAGTCACCATTCAAAACACAATTCACGGAGTGAACGTCTAAAAACACAGTAGAAATACTAAAATACTGTGCTCCTATTATTCTAATATTAAATATTAAAATATTAACCAATGGTAACATCTTTAGAAAGCAAAGTGTTCCTTGAACAACATCTGTCTTGTAACATATGCGTGATGTTTACTCCGTGCATGTGAAAAATATAATTTGATCTCACTTATAGTTGGTTTAACCAATCTGAGTGGAGAGTGTGAATGTTAACCAATCCGAGAGGAGAGTTTGAATGTTAACCAATCAATGTGCAGTTGAGAATTGTGCCTCAGTTTTCAACTTTGGAGATGTTGATTGAAGTATTATGGGATATTTTGTATTTTTTTACGCCAGGCTTTAGTACATACATAAAGGGCTTCCATTCATGTACAAATATGAGTTTAGAGAGAATTACAACTGTTGTGTTATACTCTGTGATTTATATAATTTACATATATTATATTTCACATTTACATAAAAACTATAGTTATGGAATGTCTTCTATTTAAGTGCATGTAAGCAAGATGTATTATTCATATCAAAAATAACTTTCATAACTTTAAGTGGCTGTGCCCCCATAATATTTTTTATACTAGAATAAAAGCAATTCTCAGTAAGTTATCCAGAATGTATTTAAATTAAGTTTTCATAAAATATCAAATTTTTACATCTGATTTGTGGAAAAAGTGCTTTCATTAAACTTTGATATAAGGATTCCTGCAGCTGTGTACCAGTAATACAATTGTATTAATTATTGAAATGTATTTAAGCACACCTATCTTAGTTAAAAATATTAACATATATTACTATATTTCCCTATATTCAGTGACTTATGGTATTTATGATTATTGAACTCTGACATCAAAATAGTGAAAACCAAAGCCAGTAAAGCCAAAATTATGTTTCATCTTAGAGCATTGTTGTGTTCACTTGGTGCATTCAAGACAGAATATACCATAAATTAGGAGACTTACTTCTTCATGTGTGTCAATGCAGTAATGTGATAAGCATAGTGTTTCCTATCACATGTATATACATAACAAATATAAACAGAACTTATTGTAATATTTAATTGCATGATTCAGACGAGATCTTCCATCAATTAATTGCGAATATGTATTTGTGATTTAAACCTTAGGTTAGTTTAAAATTTTAAAAGTCAAATCAAATTTCTATGTATTTTCTAACAATGCCACTGCATTGTACTAATATATTTTTATACTATTTATTGTACCCATGTTGTCATGTGACACGTCTTTCTGATGTAACAACTTATAGTTCTCATCTTGCACAGTTTTATCATTTCAATCTTCCTGGCTGATGTATGTACATGGTCTATTTAGTAACTCCCATAATGCATGCAAATTGATGTAAACCATGATAAATTTAGTGATAATTTTTGGTGTTTGGTCATGGTGAATCCTTCAAAAATAATCCTGATATTTCTGACTTAATTTTTCAGTTTACGTTTACAGTGATTGTACCATGCTATAAATAACTGACTAATCATAATGGATTGTCTGAATGCTATAAACAACTGACCAA